TATACCCCAACACTGAAATAGGAGAACCATTGTTCGGATCCAGCAGGACTGTTCTTTATTTCTGGGTTGCCTTAAAAGATGGAACCCTTCCAAGGTGGCACACAATATAAAAACCATATAAAACAAGTACAATAAAAACTCAATATGTATTCAATAAATGCTCCATAACACTACGATTTCCAGTTCTTTTAAAAAAGCAGATACTACCATCAAAAATCAGCAGTTCAATACACGACAGAAAGGCAAAAGGAAGCAGGTGTCTCTTCAGAACCTTCCCACATCCTGCAAAAAAGAGAATCCTGGTAGAAGCTGATTCCAGAGGTGCGGTGCCACCAATGAGATGAACTTCTGTATAGCTCAGGGTGCAATTCTATGGTTGTGCCCTCAATGCAACTAAACTTGGAAACTTGCAAGCAACCTATGCACGCTGCAGGCTAAATGGACTTTTTACACATCAAGCAAAAGGTATTTCAAAGGAGGGAGGGCAGTTGGAGAGCTATTAGGATGGCTCATATTGTGGCATCTAAGACTCCTCTTCTCGCCCATCTAAACGCCCTCTTTGCTCCTTCTCTGAGACTGAGTTTCTAGCTCAGAAAGGTGGCCAGTGCAGTTGTTTCTACTGGAAGGGAAGCGGCAGGGTGTTGGTGCTCTGATTCTTCAGTCTTCAACCTCCGAGCTGGGAATCCGAAATATGATATGACCTTCAGGTGCTATCTAAGCCTCATAGCATTACTCTCTCCAGCTGCTATATTTAAATACCCCCTTCCTCCAGTGAGCTCAAGGGGGAACAATAGTACCCTGCCACCATTTTATCCTCACAACAACTCAGTGAGGTAGGTTAGGTCTGGAGTCTGGGACTGACCCAGGGTCACCCACTGAGCCACTTGGACCAGTAGATATTTGAATCTGCACCTCCCCTATCCTAGTCCAGACCCAGTCTTCCCCAGCCTCTAGTACCCTTCAGTGTGCTGAACTATAACTCCCATCATCCTTATCCAGCATGGTGGTCCAGTACATTTAGAGGGCATCTGTCTGTTGGGGATGATGGAAGTTATAGTCCACCATCTCCATCCAGCTGCTCTAACCAATATATTTCAGTGGAGGCACAAATAACATTCTGGGAGTACAAAATAATTTACAAAATTACATGTTAAGCACCTGAATAAAAATCATGCAAAAATGGGCCAAGGAAAGGAAGAAATCTTTTGGGCTGAGCACTTATTTTGTGGGAAAACTGAGTGGTTCAGGATACTTTATCCCATGTGTCCTGCTCCTGTGAAGGATCATAATGTATTTACTTCACTCTCTCTGCTCCCCAGTATGTTTATGGATTTTCCCAGAGCATCGTATCAAAAGCATTTGGCATGTACTAAGCCTGGAGTCACAGTAGGAGGCTCTCATCCTCCAGCCTGTCATATTATATTTTTGCATCTTCCTTCTTGTTGCCTGACAGAAGGCAGCCCTTGATTAAAATCTGCTTGATCAGGATTAAAACAATTCCTGAAAGAAAGTCTGAGATTGATTTGCTCAAATCAGAGCCAGCAGTCAGAACTGACCTTCGGGTTCAGAAAAGGAAGTCTTTGATTTCTTTGGATGTTTCTCATTTTCAAATCTAAATTCAATAACAGATTGTGTGGTTTCCAGAAGGTTAAATGTGTTAGTCTGTTGCAACAAAAACAACAAAGAATCTTGCATCAGTTTAAGACGAGAGAATGTGTTATGGCACACATTTTTGTGCTTCACAATCCACTTCATCAGTTCTATTAAGTTTTACTCTAAATTGGGGTAAGTTAGAAGGTGAGTTAGAAGGAAATGAAATGCAAAACAGTTCTGTGATAATAATGCTAAAGCTGAAAAATAAAATTGTTGCCATGGCCACTCACAAAGTAGCACTAGTGATAATGCAAACATAAACTCCCATAGCAATGTAAAATCCAATCTCTTGGTTCAGACCACAAACAATAAAATTGAACTTCTTGCTGAATTATAATTCGGCAGTTTCATGCTGGTACCTTCATTTGAATTGGTTAGGATGTTTGTAAAGTTAAAAAAACCAGATGTCTGAGTCTATTGTCCCCACCCTTCATTTTGTTCTCCTTTCTTTTGTGTCTATTAGTCTGAAAGCCTGTGCAAGGGGATTGTTGTTTTTATTTTAATGTACCTATAAACCACTCTTTTTGGGTGGAAGAATGGAGTAGAAATGCTTTATATAAATCAATGTGTATGTGTACCTAAAGATAATGAGAGTACTGGGACTGGATAGATTTAATGAATAGCATTTGGAACTGTGATGAGCTCAAGGCTGCTATTCTGTACTTACTTATGTTATTCGCGAAGACGTGCCCGATCCATCACAACCCCATGGACAACACTCCTCCAGGCCTTCCTGTCCTCCACCATCCCCCGGACTCCACCTAAGCTCACACCAACTGCTTCAGTGACTCCATCCAGCCACCTCATCCTCTGCCATCCCCTTCTTCTTTTGCCATTTATTGTTCCCAGCATTAGGCTCTTCTCCAGGGAGTCCTTCCTTCTCATTATGTGGCCAAAGTATTTGAGTTTCATCTTCGGTATCTGGCCTTCTAAAGAGCAGTCAGGGTTGATCTCCTCTAGGACTGACCGGTTTGATCACCTTGCAGTCCAAGGGACTCGCAGGAGTCTTCTCCAGCACCACAATTCAAAGGCCTCAATTCTTCGGCGCTCAGCCTTCCTTATGGTCCAGCTTTCACAGCCATACATTGCAACTGGGAAAACCATAGCCTTGACTATATGCACTTTTGTTGGCACGGTGATGTCTCTGCTTTTTAGCATGCTGTCTAGATTTGCCATAGCTTTCCTTCCCAGGAGCAAGCATCTTTTAATTTCTTGGCTGCAGTTGCCGTCTGTGGTGATCTTGGAGCCCAGGAAAATAAAATCTGTCACTACTGTACTTACTTACCTGTAATTAAAGGGACCCTCCTTCTGAAGAGAAAGACATGTACAGGACCATTAGAATACTGACTGCTGAGGCACATACATGTGAGTTGTCATTTTCATTTGTAACCATTTTAACCAGGGTTTCTTCAAATATTTCCTGAACAGTTATTCTTAATGCAAAGACATTCAGTGTTTTGCCAGTATTCCAACCCAGACAGCAAAAGTAAGATAGGTGCAGTGGGATGTGAACCAGGTAATACAGATCCTGAGATGACAGCAAGAATGGACTTCAGAGATGGAAGACTGACATTTATTAATGCTTCTTGGCATTAAAAGACCTAGTAGGATCCCAACACAGTACGGTGGAAGACTCTATGCCAGCCCACTTCCCACGGTGCTAATATTTTACCTGCAAGAGGAGGTATACATAAGATGGATGATGTAAGCTGCCTTGAGCCCTTTGTAGGAAAAAGGCAGGATATAAAAATAAATAAATAAATAAAGTATATAATAGCATACATTTTAATGGCAATAATTATATCAATTCATTAACTACAATATATGCATGTATACAATATTAACTTATTAATATATCAACATGCAAGAATACACACACTTATGATTTGCTCCTCCTGCTGCCTGTGAAGGCCCCCACTTCGTCATCTCAGAACTGTATTTGAGCCTCTTGCATTATTTATGCTACATATGGATGTTATTTATTAAAAACTTTTAAATCCCTTTTTTCCTATCAAAAGGCTGCCAGAACAGCTTGCAAGAACCAATAATCTTGCACTCAGGGGATACATATTTGGCTTTGCTGAGTGTTTTAAAATGGTAGTTCCTGATTTTAGGAAGCTTTTGGCTAACAGTTAACTACCAATAGCCGATCAATACACCTCAAGCAAAGCACACACCGAAAATAGCTTTATGTGGATTCAATGTTAGTTTTGTACTTGCAAAAATTTGTGCAAGAAAGATCTTTCTTATTTTTATTAGAAACATACTTGCAGCTTTCCATTAAAATGTAACTTCCATAAAATGACAACAAAACATTTGATGTATGAACTACATGGCTTATCTAATTTCTATACATGAAATAGTATATGGACTAATATACATATCTAAAATCCATGTTGCTGCAATACCTTTAATAGACAATCAAAAGATCACAAAGACTAAACAAAGAATTGTAGTAGCATATTCTTGGAATGCATCTTTGCTTTATTTTGCCAACATTAAATGTTTGAACAGGAGAAAGTCCTACAAGTCCCAGCATCCCCCAGTCAGCCACTTTGGGAATCCTAGGAGTTAAAGACCTTTCTTCCGTATAAACAATGCATAGAATTGTGGCTTTATAATTTATGGGTGCAATCCTGTGCATGCTTGTTGTTTTTATGTGCAATCAAGTAAGTCTCTGATTAATAGCGACCCTGTGAATGAAAGCTCTGCTGAACGTCCTATTCATGACAGTCCTATTCAGGTCTTGTAAATTCCAGGCGGTGGCTTCCTTTCTGGAGTCAATCCATCTCTTATTTGGTCTTCCTTTTGTTTTTCTGCCTTTTGCTTTCCCTGGCATGCTTGTTACTTCCAGGGAGTCTTGCCTTCTTGTGCTAGTTTAGATGGAAATAAAACTTACTAAGAGAATGGGTGCGCGTTACAGGACTTTTAGAAAATTAAGCATGCATAGGACTGCTCCCTAAACATTGCTGGATTTGTTCCCATCATGACATTAACGTTTGTGTTGGGATTACTGTATTTAGCGTTAACATAGCTCTAATTTGTAGTGCACCATGTTACTCCCGCCAAAGATCATTGCTAAGGAGACGCCGCAAGGGATGGAAGGGGCGGTGCCTTGGCATTTAAAAGAGCGCGAGGGAAAGGTGGGCGGAGCCAGTGTCGAAAGTGCCGCTCCAACTCTTCCCCCTCCCACAGCACAGCTCTCGTCTTGCGGGACAGAGGGGGCGGGAACCACGAGGCCACGCCTCCTAGTGACAGGCCGCGGCGCTCTTTGCCCTTTGGCCGGGCGCAAGCTCCACCCCTCTGAGCATCTCAACCAATGGCTTAGCGCCCTGTTGGCCGAGCCGGCTTGCATGCAGCGGAGGCCAAGATGGCGGCGCTCTCGATGCAGAAGGGTTGCTGGACGGGAGTCCCTGGGAAATTGTGCTTAGCCGCATTGCTGTGCCTGGGCAGCCGTTGGCTCCCCCCCGTAGACGCCTCCGGCCAAGCGGAAGGCGGCGCTGCTGCTCCTGCGGTGCCTCACCGGCGGTTCGAGTATAAATATAGTTTCAAGGGGCCGCACTTGGTGCAGGCGGACGGGCTAGTGCCCTTCTGGATTCACACAGGCAGTAAGTACCAAAGGGGGCACGTAGCAGCTAAGGGTGGGGAAGGGGGCAGCGGCGTTTAGTTGGGATGACGGACCTTCAGTCTTGGAACTCCTCGAAGGCAGAGGGTCCCTAAGCATGTGCAGAGTGCAGCTCTGGAGTGTCTATCCCTGCGCATGTGGCATTCAGGGCAAGGTGGTATCTTGGAAGTATTGCTACCAAGGCGCGAGTCGGAGACAGGAAGGAAGTGTAAATGTCTCTAGCGTTTAGATTAATTCTCGGTTCCTTTTCCCTTATCTACAAGCATGCCACGTAGCCCTTCTGGACTCGTCAATAGTAATTGCACCTAATTTTTCCATTGCATGTATATGTGCATGCAGTTTTACATGTACACATGCATTACTCTCTTCCATTTTCTTCAGGTTCTTTGGGCTTGCCTGTGTGCAGCTACTTTATTGGTAGTAGTATGCAGGCTGCCTGAAAAGTATACCCTAGCCCTAGTGCTGCAATAGTTGTGAAGAATTCTGAACTAGGTGGACTGTACTTCTTTGCAAGACTGTACATTTGGAAAAATTAACATTTAAGATAGTTTATATCCTAAATGTTAATAAGGTTCTGAGAATATGTTCTTGCTTTTAGAATTCAAGATACCTTAGTTAAAAGAATGACAGGTATACAGCAAGTTAGCCCTTGCCACATTGGACTTAGAGATAGCATGTTTGCTTTCTCAGTGTGCTTGTTGTAGCAAATTAATACTGTACCTTCTTGTTCTGTAGCTAGTGTATATGTGGTCTTGAAGTAAAAATTCAGATTTTGAAACATGAGTTGCTCACATGATGCAGGTGCTTAAGTATGTTTTACATTTATGCTTCAGGAATGACTGTACTGTGTTCATTTCACACATGAAACTCCTTTAAGCTGGTATCAAGCAGAGCATAAAAAGCATCAGTTATTGAAATTTCTCAGAAGTAATTTCAGTTGCACTAAATGACTTGATGTGAAACCATTTGCTTCTTCATAGTGATATGTCACTGTTGTCAGAAATGAGAATTTAACTTGTGCTTTCCACCAGGTTCATCCCTTCTTGTTTTCCCCTCCCTATCTCATATCTATCTATCTATTGCATTTTAATAAACTCTTTACTTGGTCCTAAGCATGCATATGTGAGTAGATAAATAGGTACCACTTCGGTAGGAAGGTAACAGCATTCTGTGTGCCTTGGCATTTAGTCATGCCAGCCACATGACCACAGAAGCATCTTCAGACAAAGCTGGCTCTTTGGCTTAGAAATGGAGATGAGCACCACCTCTAGAATCAGACACAGCTAGCACGCGTGTGCAGGGGGAACCTTTACCTTTAATAGAGACACTATGCTACTACTGCTTTTGGACTCTGTTTCTAATCGACTCACAGAGCTTCCTGTGGCTCCCTGTTGACTTTTCTGTCACTGATTAAATGTGCACTTGTGGGTATTTGTCCTGCAAAGTTCTCAGTACCTGATGTCCAAAATGGCTTAGTTCAGGTACTTCACATGACTGTTCTCATCTGTTATATGTGACCAACTTGCTAATTTATTTTGCTTCTTTATTTGAAAACTATTCCACCATTCTACCAAAAATGGTGGACCATTACACATTCCTTCTTACGTGGCTCTGGGTTACTACTTATACTGGGCTATTCCAATGCCAACTGTTGTGGGCCCAGAGTAAAAGTAACTGTACTGTGTATATTAGAGGGACCCAATTTTGCATGTTCAATGATGCTTCCCTCTGCAGGGAGAAAGGGACTTCTTTTTCTTATTCCATGCTAGTCAAATGCCACCTTTCTCTGGTTTTGTGCATTAGGTGGAACTTAGGAGGGGATATCTGGTAGGCCAGATGGAGAGTTCCAACATCCTTAACTTATATGCTTATGGTTCTTACTTATTATAGTAGGAGTTGTATGTACACATGTTTCCTTCCCACAATGCTTACAATAATGGGAAGAATACAGTGGTGCCTCATAGTTTGAACGATTCTAACTTCGAATGATCCAGAGTTCGAACACTGGTAAAATCACTCCACAGTTCGAATGATGTTTCTAAGTTCAACCTGCAAGCAAAATGAAAAATATGTGGTCGCAGTGAAAACACCATCAGTTGTACACCCAAGTTGGAAAAAAAAAATCTTAGTAAAAGACACATTGCCATTAATCCCCGTCAAAATACTCCCCCCCCCCCCCCAGAAAAAATACTCTTATCATTCTGGCCACTTTCTGAAGCAGTGGGAAGTCTTCTCACGTGAGTGTCTTTAGTTACGCTGTCATGGCTTCGATTCCTGAATTGATTCACGAAAAGGCAATTCAAGATGAAGTGATTCAAGATGAGTATTGTTTAGGGTCTGGGCTAATTCCATTATTTTTAATGGGGAAAATTGATTCGGACTTTGAACAATTTGGCCTCCTGAAACGAATTAAATTCGAAGTACTAGGCAATACTGTATTCAAATGTGAATTATACCCTGCTTTAATTTATTCTCCACTACAGGCATCAAATGTGGGGATAAACAGTCTGAGGCTGCCACTCTGTTCTGGGAGAACATTTGCTCCAGTTCTGTGTTACAGAGCTGACTTTATGATCCAGGGTGAAATGTTTTAGACAGTCCTTCACTTCAACTGTGGACCACTTCTTGTCCCAGAAATCTACTTTATGGGCTGTTGTGAGCAAATGATGTGTGATACTAGTACAGTCTTGTGTTTTAGGGGAAAAGTAACATTCTCAGTTCTGTCAAATAATTTATCTGAGCAGAGACCATGTATTTTAGGAGCAGTTATTGTAAGAGTTTTGCTTTTTTGAAAATTAATAGCACATTTTCCTTTTAGATGCTATTCCCAGCGCTGATCAAATAAGAATAACACCATCATTAAAAAGCCAGCGGGGATCAGTATGGACAAAAAGCAAATCTGTATTTGAATACTGGGAGATTGAAGTGACTTTCCGAGTAACAGGGAGAGGGCGAATAGGAGCTGATGGATTGGTATGTAAGAATGACTTCTTCGCAAACATTTATTGCTTAAACCTGGACATGTAAAATTTAGATTTGAATTTCCCTGAACAGGCAGTGTGGTTTACAGAAGGGCAAGGCTTAGATGGTCCTGTTTTTGGAGCAGCTGATAACTGGAATGGCGTTGGCATCTTCTTTGACTCATTCGACAATGATGCAAAGGTAAGTGGAAAGTCATGAGAATATGTTCCATGGACTTCACTGCATATAGACCCATTTTGTAGGAGTTTCTTATGTAATCAGGACAGTAAAAACAGAATATGGGAATTTACAGCCAGTTCCCTTAAAAACAAATGCCACTGAGTTCAATTACTCTTACTCTCGAGAAAATCAGTATAGGATAACCATCTAACATGCACTAGTTGAATTGGTTTGTAGAACGCAGCAGTAAGCTTTTACAGGGTGATTCTTAAATGGGTTAAGATGGTGTTTGCATGCAAACATTGTCTTTGCTTACCAGGAGTACAGTCTTAACACAGGATCCTGTGACATCTACATCATTTCTGCAGCTCAAAGACTTAGTCTGTAAGAAATGCTCGGATTCCTGAAGCACATGTATTTGTTTACCTTGTTATCATGCCATATGTTTCAGGGTTGGTAGTATATTTGAAAAGAAGTAGAAAGTCTTTAACTTGAGCAGGGGGGAGGGTGTGATAGCAACATTTTTTTTAAAAAAAAGATTGCTTTCTTGTGTTCAGCAACCAAGTAGGAGTACCACCAGGAAATGTTGTTGGGTACCATCAGGAAAATTAATTACAATGCATTTATTAATAAATACATGTTTTATACCAAGTGAGATAATATGAGCAGCTTTCATCATGTTCAGAGAAATTGCATCCATCCATCTTCTATTAAGCTAAGACATCAACATCAGGCCAAAGGTCCTCTCTGGCATTCTGTGCTTTGTGCAGGTCAACCAGCTGCCTCTGGAGAACATGTCACTGTATATCCGTTGCTGGAAAACAATCTCCAGCAACTGATGAGCCTCTGAATTATGCCATTTCCATTTAACCGTAATGACCAGTAGGCTAGGCTATTTATATACTGATCCCCCACAAATTCCTCACCTTGTTCCATGTAGCATGAAAAACTGCAGTAAATATTAAGGTGTATGATTTTTAAAAAGGCTTAGTCATAACTTAGATCTTTAAAAGTGTTGACACAACATACAAAGTCACTTTGGGGCATGACTTAACATGTCATGAATACCCTGCTTCCTTTGGGAAGATTGATAAGCCACCCTTCCTAGGCATTGCTTATTGTGGAATTTAGGAAACCCTCCATGGTTTAGCATACCATCCAAACCTTAAGTTTGGACACACCTTAAGTCATTGTCAAGCCAAAAGGCCACAGATCCCCTTGGCCAGAACTGCAAAAAAGAATTGCCACTATGGCAAAAGGACTGTAGCTGATGGCAGCCAGTGAAGTGTGGCAGCCCTGCTGTCCCTCTGGCATTGAAAGAAATGCAGGGGGAAGCCATTGGGCCCACAGGACACCTCTTCCCCGAACCCTCCCCAGGCAACCCAGGGAAGAACCAGACGCTTGAATTGGCCATCTGATCAGGAAGAGAGGTCAGGCACCTGCACCCTGCCCTCTGCCACCATGTTCATCTCAACAACTGAATTATCTTAACTGGTGGTAGGAGAGTCGTGCTGTTTTAAAAGACCATGGCTTTGAGTTCTCTAGCTATGTAATAAACAGGTTTTTCTTGTGTATTTGCATATGGCAGAACAGTGGCTCTTGTCTAACACTGAAACAGTTTCAATGTAAACTTGTTTACAAGTCTGAACTACTTTTATTTTTATTTATATTTCTCTTCAAGAAAAATAACCCGGCAGTGATTGTTGTCGGAAACAATGGCAAGCTCCATTACGACCATCAAAAGTAAGTGGCATATTTGTTTGATCTATTTTGATTTACAGGGGGTTTACAGATCAGTATGGAAATATTTTCAGCAACATCTGTTTCTATTTATGTGATTTTTGGTTCTGCCCAATCCCAGTGGGTCAAAGCATCTTGTAAAAAGGAAAGAGAAACTTGTGCCAACTGACTTAATAGCCCTTTCCCTGGTCTTTCAGTCCGGCCATGTCATATTAGGTCAATCTTCCGTTGACCTCTGTCCTCAGTCCCACCCAGCAGTCTGACTTTCCAAATAAAAGCAGTTTATGTTTTTTTCTGCCACTTGTCTTCCACCTAGAAACTCCATCCATGTCACTCATATTTCCAATCAAGCCTTTAACATACTGTCACAGATTAAAGCCTCACATTCCCACCCTATTCTCTTGTTGCCACCTTGCTGCACTCCTGCTTCACCACATTACTCCTCATGGATTAATTAAAAGTCAGTTTTTTTCCTTGGCCTCTTGCAGCCCTTAGCATTACTACTTCATGAACTGACTATGTCACCTGTAATGCACCTAATACTGTTTCGCAGCTGCCTATTGTGGGAGAAGAGTGGTCATTGCAGACTGGTTCTCTGACAGGAAAGTTTGTCTTAGGGGAGGCCTTGAAAAGAACTTTAAAGAATTCCTGGTTTCTCCAGATACTGTTTGAAAACTACTCTTTAGTGCTGCATATGCCCCTAGTAAATTATGGTTTGCACATCCATTCAGATCCCAGTTAAGAAGTGTTTTTCTATGTAGGCTAATACGGTTACTACTTCATTTCTGTAATAGATTTATGTAATCTTCTAATTATGTGTTGTGTGCTGCTTAACTTTTCAGCTATGTGATCTGCTATATATTTCTGTAGTTTAAAATGTTTAATATGTTCTGTCTCTTAAAGTGATGGCTCTACACAAGCGTTGGCGTCATGTCAAAGAGATTTTCGTAACAAGCCGTATCCTGTTCGAGCGAAGATCACCTACTACCAAAAGATACTGACTGTTAAGTGCCCACTTTTTTCGCTATTGTCTGTGTCTGTACTTAATATGGGAATATCTGATACTTTTTATGGTTCCAGAAAGGCTGTACTTCTCAAAGTGAGAGTGAAGCCAAGCCACACATGATATGGTGATACTAGAAGTGCTCTGTAGAACATTTTTCAAACAACCTTAGATCTTGGAAAAGCGATGAAAAGCTTAGGTTATGGCACAGCACAGGAAAGCATATGTCAGTAGCATTTCTCTTGAATACTTCCATGCAACTGGACAAAACTTCCAAGTTCTTCTAACTTATCATGCCTTCAGGTATAGGATACAGACTTGGAATCTTTGGGTCAGTTGTTGAGAAGTAACATGTGAGATGCTGCCCCTAACTAATGAAGAGTTTTATGTGTTGATGAATGGAGCATCTTAAAGTTACAGCTATCATGAATTTAGAGAGAGTATGATATAGAAATGAACCACTTTGCTATTGGTATCAACATGGGGTTGGGGGGGGGATGTTGTGTAACTCGGTGGAGCATGTGCTTAAGCATGGGTTATGGAAGATTTCTCTCTGTGTGTATGTGAGGCAGGCACAACTTTCCCTGGCTGGGATACCAGAAGGTGGCATCTAACACATCTGGAGGCACCATGTTGGGGAAGGATGATCTAGTGTTTCTGTCTATAGTCTTGGGTGGCAGGCTTGGAAAGCCCTTGGCAGGCCATTGCCAGTTGGCATAGAGGTTGCTCGGTGTATGTGGTGGCTTCATATCTTTGCATCTCTTTTTAGGTATATATAAACAATGGCTTTACTCCAGACAAGGAAGACTATGAATTTTGTGCCAAAGTAGAAGACATGGTGCTGCCTTCTCAGGGATACTTTGGGATTTCAGCAGCAACCGGTGGTCTTGCAGGTAATTTTGCTACTCTGTTTTGTTGAAGCAATGATTTGAAGTAGATTAATATTTGGTAATGCATGAAATGTCTGCAGGCTAAGTACCTAGTGGAACAGGAACTGTGTCTGCCAGTAGGTAAACTTTTGGAAGGCTGCAGAGGGAAGAAATTATGTGGGCAAGATGTACATTTTTGTTTTCTAGTTGAATGGTTCTTAGCACGTATGAGAAAGAAGGGGCTCCTGTGTAGGAGCTCTTCTACAGGAAGGAAGTGCATGGGATCAGTAGCAGGAGGACGGCGTATGAATGGCACTCTACTGGCCTTCAAGCCCTGCTTCACGGGTGCTTGGCTTAATCTGTGGAAGCATATTAGGAAGTGCTTTTGGAGCTCCTTGAGCTAGATTTTGGGATTCAAAGAGCTGCTTCAGGTGGGCTCAAAGGATGGGCTATTTCTGGTTGTTTTACCTTAGACTGCAAGCTTCCCTGTTGCCCTAGCCATATTATAAGTGGATTTTGGAATTCAAGCCCAGTGCTCTCCTGGCCGTGCAGAACTAGTTGTGCTTTGGATCCCAGCCATGGTCTTGGTTATTATTCTAGCAGCTCTGCTGGTAAGGAAACCCAGGGCACAGCTACTGGAGTTAATTGCAAGCACCATGGCCACCATTCAACCTGGAAAACATTCTGCATACCCAAGAGAGCTTTTGTCTTGTGATTGCCTTTGAATTGCACTGAACTCAAAGTAGTAGATTCTAAACGTGCAGCAGGATCTTATTCTATAGTACCTAGAAAAACTGGGCATTTCGTGTGTAATCCTGTATTAAATATAACTGATTATATGAAACTTTTCTGCCATTTTGCTCCAGTCTCTTGTCTTTTGAGCAAATTCACAAGGCCACCTTTTCTAGTAGATATTTTCTGTTTGGCATAAACTTGGGGAGAAGCAGGGTAGCTTGCAAGTGTGAAATGCTGCATTTCTGCTGCAGGAACACTGCTGTGCAGCACCACTAACTTCTGCTGCAATTTTGTTCGGTGTGGTAGTGCTCGATTCAGGGGGGCCCTGTGTCTCCCCTGCTCCATCACCACCCAGAGCTTATTAGAAGGGTGGCAGTGCCAGTGTGCACAGCTCTACTCTTTGTCTTTTGAGTTGGGGCCTGGCACTGAGTGAAAAAGTGCCAGGCAGGTGCAATGGCTTACTCCCCAGAATGCCTGTGGGACTCTGCCCCCGGCTTAGTGTCCAGCTATTTGTGATGTGCCTTTGAAGGCAGGGCTCAGAGGCGTTTGGAGAAAGGCGAGGGCATTGCTCCTGCTGCTTCTCCACTCAATGCTTAGTTTCTTAAATAAAAATAAAGATACGGTGCTGTAACACCAACTGCAGTGGGTCCCTCCAGAGACCTGGAACTCGCCCAACCAAGCAATGTACTGATGCTGAGCCGGGTAATACATAAACTTGAATGCATTCCAGCAATTGTAATGATGCGTTCTCTTCATATTATTCTGCTTTGTTAGAACAATTGGGAATGACAACTTAATATTTTTGGGATTTCTATCCAGATGACCATGATGTCTTGTCTTTCCTGACCTTCCAGTTGACAGAGCCTGGCAAAGTAGCGGTAGGCATCCTTAGACACTTACTTTGAGGTGGGCCGACTTGCAGGGATTTTCAGTGCTGAATAATGCATCAGAGTCAGTGTGTGGAGCAAGTATTCCCTATGGTTTAAGTGGAACAATGGATGAGTGTGTAATTTGCAAGAGGGGGGATCTTAAGTGAGATTAGTTTCTGGTATCTTCCTTTCAGCAGGCTTTATTTACCTATTTGCATTTGAATTTTAGTATATTACATTAAACGTTACTGTCCATTCATGAGTCTTGAGTTAAGGAAGATAATCTTGCTGGGAAGCTAAATATTTTAATTAAGAGCTAGACAATTTGATATAGGTTTTTAAGAACTCTAAGGCATATGCCACCAAACTCTAATAGTAACTTGGAGAGCACTTTTGCTTTGGCTTAGCCATGCTCCCTCTTACATACTAGCATGTGAGGACAGACCAGGAGAAAGTGGTATATTGAAGATTTGTTAGTCTGTAAAGTACTTAAACATGTGCACATTTGCCAGCTCTAGCCCTGTTCAGGCACATAAGTCCTTAGGGGATAATACTCCTGCAAGGGAGAGAGCTAGCTTAACTTATGCACCTGTTATTTCCTCATATTTGTGTGCTGGACCAGCCATGCCCCACATACTGTTATATATTGAATTTTATTTGTGTAAGCCGTCCTGAAGCTCTTGCAAAGGACGGCATATAAATATCTGGGAGGGGGGAGGGGGAGGGGGGAGAAGACTGAAGCAGGGACTTTTTCTAAACGATTTGGAACCCTAAATATTCAGGGAGTCTATACACACAGAGCAGACTCTGCGTTTCAGGCATTCCATCCACACCACACATCTGTGGCAAGATGTGGGTTTGGTGGGGACATGGCTAAGACCCATGAGTGTGGTCCCACTATTCTCTTTGTGCAACACTGATGCCTTAGCAGAGCTTCTTTCCAGTGTTGTTTGTGTTCTGAGGGTGTAACACTGAGTGCAAAATACTATAAATCAAAGCCAGAAACAATTTTACACTATCCATTTCAGTAATGTTATCTTAAAATTGGTCTTAAAGCCTCCTCCTGATGCAGAAATTCCAGAAAAGGACAAAGAGAAATACCAAGAAGAGTTTGAACATTTCCAGCAAGAGCTGGACAAGAAGAAGGAAGAGTTTCAGAAGGAGCATCCTGATGTACAGGGGCAGCCCAGTAAGTGGCCAAATGATCCTGATTTGATACTAAATAAACACAATTCTTTGATGAGTTTCCATATGAGAAACAGCTAGAAATTTCACTTGAGTATACTACATATGAAGCCATATGTGTGGAATCAGAGATGTTTAACTGCAAACTTAATTACTGTTCTTTTGAGGACAAAGATGTCTGCATGTGCCTTGCTTGTCTCTCTCACCATCATCTGTGCCCATCAGTGCCAAATGAGGGCATTTGGATCTCTTTACTGTGTAAAATAATTCTAGTTGTGAGAATAAAAGCACAGAAATTTGTATAGTACTTGGGCGGTGCTTGAAGGGGAAAGTGAAAGACATATTAGTGAATGTCCAAATGTGACTGTTTTAGAGCATGTAATTAGAATCCTGTTCCATTATTTTTTTTAAGCGGATGACCTCTTTGAGACAGTGAGTGATCGTGAGCTGAGGCAAATCTTTGAAGGCCAAAACCGAATTCATCTGGAAATAAAGCAACTCAACAGGCAGTTGGACATGATTCTGGACGAGCAGAGAAGATACGTCTCTGCAGTGACAGAAGAGATTTCCAAAAGAGGAGCTGGTGTCTCTGGTCAGCCAGGGCAGGTAGTGAAGAACACTGTTGGGGGATGTGCCAAAGACAGCCGTGCTTCTCTTGTGCCATTCTTCACTAACACTGTTGAATGAGTTTTCTAATCCGTTTTTGTTCTTACTTAAGGCCTCCCAGCAAGAACTGGAGAGTGTTGTGAAAGCTCAAGAGGAGGTCCTGAGACAAGTTGGTGAAATGAAGTAAGCAGATGTGTGAAGGATGCTGGCAGTGTGATATTTATTTGTTTATTTCTGATTCAGGTTTCATATTTCCTGGTTCAGGTGTTGAACTGTTGTTTGAGGGGTGGGGTTTAAGATTAATACAAAGGACAGCTCCAAAGAGAACTTGGAGATACATTTGTAGCCCCATGTATTGTGAAATTCACAGTGCAGTTCTATGCAAGTCTGTTCTGAAGTCTCATTGATGGCGTCCAACCCATGTGATAACCCACACTCAGGGGTTGGACATGGGTTCAATGTGGGTTGTTGTAGCAATGTAGGTTTTGTGTTGTCTAAACCCAGCTGCTCTACCATGGTTGGGTAGTGAACCGTGGGCTGCTTATGGGTCACAAACCATAGTTAATTAGCAAGGTTGGGTTCAGACAGCATGAGATTCCATGTTTCAACAATGAAATATGGTTCAGTGACACCTTGTATTCAACTCCTTGGTTTGGGTTATTGTGTAGTCTGAACCAAGCCATTGTGTTCAGTGAAGCTTATTCCTAGGTAGGTGGAAGTAAGATACTACCTTATATAATAATTACCCTTTGGTTATAGGAATGCCTTCAAGATTTGTTACCTTGTACTTACTTTTTTGATGGCTCATTTTCCTGTTCATATCTGTTTAGTTCAAAGCTTCAAGTAAAAATTTTCTTACAGGGCGGATTTGCACTGCACATTAACCTCTATGGGAATTTTACCTTCACAGTCCCAGTAAAATGCCCCTGTGCCTGATAGACGGTTAGGCATCATGGGGGGTTGTGTCCTCCTCCTCCCCACTTCCCCTGCAGTCCCTCTGCAGTGTGTTAGGGGCCACTGTGGAGCAGTGAGGAGAGCAAGATGGCAGCAGCTGGAAGCTGTCACTTCAGCAGCTGTCACCAATTCCTAGCACAGCGCTCTTACAGAGAGAGATCTGTAGTGCCTGTGGCTTACAAGTGGGCACGGGTGGCCTCCATGCTGCAGATTTGCAGTATGTCATGGCTGGCAAATGGGGAAATGGCCTGAGTGGCCTTCATACCACACAGCCACTGTGACTGAGCAGCAGGCAGAGGACGTGTTCAGAGGGGTCTCCATGGGAGGAGGCCTGGCCGCGCATGCCACTCTGGCCACAGTTCCCCACCCCACTTCTCTCTGATGGCATGGTTCCAGGCTCTGCCATGCATCCCAGTTGGGACTTGGGCAGGCAGTCCAGGCAGGCCCCTGCATCACTGCCCAGTCCTTGTTCCTTTATTTTGCCAAGGCAAGCCGAGCAGCTCCTTCTGTGGCTCTTCCACTGCAGTGGTGGCAGCAAGCGGGACCCAGTGGCTGAGTCTTCTGCAGTGTGGCCTGCTGAGTTGGCACATGGTGGAACCAAGCGGCTTCTCCCAGGCTCCTGCTAGGTTAGAGGGAAAGCAAGCAGTCCTTCTTTAAGCAGTCCTTCCTGCATTGGCAGGAACCTGGAGAAAACTGATGACAGCCACTAGTGTTTGGCTGTTCCAGCCAAAGGATGTTTACTTTTCCGTTGCCAATGGCTTAGTGCACCATCCAGTTCTGGGATAGCACATTAAGCTACGGTGGGTTATTTAATCCTTAGGACAAGCCAAGAGTAACTGGGGTTGCTTCCATATCATGGCAGGATATCATACTGTCTGAATCCAGTCATAGGCTTCCCAAAGGTATTGTTCACACTAGCAGACAGACATTTACATGGTGGTGTCTGCTGAAATAGCATGCATTCAGGGTCAGAGTTCAGGTCTTCAGGATGCAGTTGGATCGGATATGAGATCTGATCCTGCAGAAGTACCAGCCTTGGCAGCACAATCTTTAGTCATTGTGGGACAAGACTCATTAATGCAAGAGGAGAGCTTGAGCCCAGTTGTCAAGATGAGGATATGAATCAGTTTTGGCTGAAAAGATGTACTTTTCCTGCTCTTCTTTGTGCCTCTGAGCATCCTGCCGGTGAGTTCTGTGCTTGAGCAGAGCTAGATTCAGAACATCTGGAGCTTTAGCCAAGTGGCTGGTGCTCAGCCATCTTTCCCAAAAGGTGAAGTACTTAGTGAGGTAGGTGCACACCTCATAATCAGTTTTTCTTATCTGAATGTCTGCATTGGTGGGCAGGGAAGAACTTAAAATCAGTACGCTTGCCTTGCCCCTTGGATTCAATTGTGGGAAAGGGATTACTTTCTGTAATACCTTGTAAGACATTTTCTTGGGTTCCTTGTACAACATTTCTGAACCATGATGTTTACTAATATTAATAGTTCAAGGACAGCTCCTTCAATGTGCCTAAGTAGGTCAGCTTTTATAGAATAAAGATTATAGAATGTACTTCCATTTTCACTCATGTTCTTTGGGGACAGCTTTCATTTTAATATTCTTGGCAAATCTTTATACTGAAGAAGTAAATTAGATTTTCTTGTTAACATCAGAAGCCTGCCCTTTTAGTGACTACTTATTAAGAAAGCTTTTGCGTAATATCTTAATATTTTCAGCTTGAGATTAAAGAACGTCTTGTAGTGGATAAAACAAAACAAATGAACATCCCTCTGTCTTCTGTATGGAAGGGATAGATTGTCAATGTAATTTTTCATGTCAAGTTCCATATATTTCTCAGTCGCTGCATTTGAAAAGACCATTGGATTATCTTGACAATAGAAGAAATTGATTTCACACTTGTTATTGAACAGGAACATTTGGAAGCCAAGTGGTCTACATGCACTTTTTATTGGACCAGTTTGTCTTAAACTTTAGAATCCTATTACTTTTATCTCAAGTGATTATATTTCAAAATGGTAACTGACAAGTAAATGAAGTAACTTAATCTAAAACAACATATTCTTAAACATGTAACGAATTAATTTTTCCTGTCCGATATACACTGACGGCAGGTAAACATCTCCCCAGAACAGTAATGTCAAGTAGAGGAGGCCAGACAAGGTTTTTGTCAGGATCACCCTGTGACCCTCCTGCCTCAGGAGCCTTGGACCTCCAGTTTCCAGTATTCAAATCCCAAACTCAATCTCCTACCCTGCAATTTCTTGTAAATGTTGGGTTCTCAGCTGCAGGAAGGATTCAAGAGGCAGTTTAGATAAATTTTAATATTCTTCCTAAATCTGTTAAATAATGCTTTCATTGATATTAGGTGAAATCTGAGATGGCAAATATTCTGCCATTTTTACATCTTATTCAACTGACAACTGTTAATTGATGTTAATGGTTAATACTTGCATCTCAACTTCAGCTCATAAGAATATATAAAGAAATTTCCTAGTTTGTTTAGTAGTTTACAGCAAAATAGTAATTTGAATGCATTCCAGATACTTTAAATTTGCAGATTTATTGTTTGGCTGAATAAAGACTTTTGCTAAAGGCTACGGAGATGGGCACTAAATAAAGAGTTGGATTTAATCTTCTTTGTTGAAGGAAACACAAAGTTTTAAAGAAATTAAGATGAACAAATACAAGACATAGACTTTGATTATTCTGTTAACAATGAAAGGGATTACCATTCAAATAATATTTAGCTGTAGACACTAATCCTCTTTGCAACTGGGAAGAGGCATCACAACAAGAGAAACTTATATGAACATATTGATTAAGGACCTTGCCTGCTTCCTTTATCCAATCAGTTTAGATGTCTTATATCACCAGTTACAGCATCTGCACTTCTTATGGCTTTAATTTTCTTTTTTATAAGAACAGAAATGAATTTATGGCAAGATAATACTATATTGCTTTGATGCATGCAGCAAATGAATTTGTCATGTAAAAGGTAATCAGGAGCCACATGTCTTAAGTCTTTTGCTTATCCCTAAAGCATGGTGGGCCTTGTTCATCATCTTGAAATAGATTTTAGATTCCTTAGAATTATGACATTATTTAAAGCTTCAGGAGAATGATTCAAATTGGTCTTGGAAGCCTTTGACAGTCACATGATACTTTTGTGTCCATAGCTGGATTCAGTGCTTGCCTTGGAACAGTTGCGCTTTGCATCTATATTGTTATCTGCATTTTTAATGGAAATGTGTGCTTAGAGGGATTAAAGCTGGATTCCTAGACCCACTCAGTGACAAACATACAAGATAGAGTTGCAAGAATGGAAATAATTCGCCATGCCAAGCAGGGCATGGGGAATGAAAGCAGATTGATTAGGTCCTGACTGCACTCCAGAAAAGCCCACTGGCTTTTAAAGCTCTGGTCCCCAAAGCCACCTGCATCCTGCTGGAGAGAGGCAGGGCTGCCTGGGCCAGCTTGATGTCTGACTTCTATTCCAGGAGGCCTTGGCTTGGGGCAGGTATTTCGCCAATCCACCTCATTCAGTTAGAGCAGCACAGGAAGGCTGACATGAACTGACATGTAACCTGGGTACTGTTTTGATTCCATAAATACGCAAAGCTGGTATGACCCATTGCATGCACTGGGTCACCTCCATGTCAGAGTTCCGGTAAAAGGTACCCTTTCCCCCATCTGATTAGAGGTGGTCCTGTAATATGAGAACACGGGGCCAACTCATGACACTAAGTCATGGGAAGTCCAAGACAGGTAAATGGAATCCACACAGTACATAGTTACACTGTGGAATCCTCTACCACAAGATACAGACTGGTTTCACATAACTGGGGAAGGAAAATTAGCCACAGTAACTTATTTTCTTGCCCCTCTGAATTGCCATAATTGCCCTTGCCAGCACAGTTGGTTGTGTCATACAAACCTGATATGGGTGTGGGAAGGATGGGCTTGCAATCCACCTCACAACCTAGGCCTTATCAGGTGCTTTGTAAACCGCTCTCCACCTTCACTCTGTTTGGATGGCAGAACAAACAGCAGTGGGTGACCTTTTCAGTGGTAGCCTGCTCCCCAGTTATGGAACAGAACAGGCTTCCCACCGAGGTCTGTATGGCACCAACCTCGATACCTTTTCAGCTCCAGGTTAACACTGTCCTCTATGACAGGGCATTTCATTAGTTTTGTGTTCTATTGGAGCATTGTGTCAACTGCTTCCCAGATCTTGTGATTTAATTTGAACAGGCTATTGTTGCTTTTTCGATTTGGTTTTTTACATTTTGTATTGTATTTTTATTGTACTGTATTTTATCTCTTGCCAGCCACCCAAAGAGCTTCAGCTATTGGGCAGTATAGAAATACAATGATGAGGATGTTGTACTCATCAACATCCTCTGTATCATAAGCAACAACAAACTGCACCTGACAAGGGTAATTAAGTGGTGTGCAACTGCCATGTGAGCTCCAGGAACATAAGCCACAGTGGCTTATTTTCTTTCCTGGCATGTGCAAAGCAGCTCATAGTGAAGGCCACCAATTTGGCTAGCTTTAAAAGGGGGTCACACACAGGCATGGATGGTTAGTCTATCGGTGGCTGCTCTTCCAGATGGCTGTATACCCTCTTCAGTATCCTAGCAGGCTGCCTTTGCATGGTACTTGCTGGGAGCTCAAGTGGGAGGCTGCCGTTTCACTCATGGCCTGCTTGTGGGCTCCCCTTGGAGTTCTGGCTGGCACTCGGAACCAAATGCTGGCCTAGAATGCAGACTAGAACTCCTGCTCCGCATCAGCCCAGTGGTTCTCCTTGTGAGGTAGTAGCGATCCTGGCAGATCTTTTTCCTTCAGCTGCTCTCTTCACTCACTGCCTCTTGGCTCACACATGAGTAGCTTAGTTGCATAAGGAGACAATGCTGGCTGAGGGAAGAACTCTTTGCCTGCCTGCACTCGCTCTCGGATCCAGTCAGTGCACAAAAGAAATGGCACTAAGAAAGCTCTTAGACCTCCAATTGTAATGAGGCTCAAGGAACTGTACAGAGAGAGGCTTACTGTAGCAAACCTCCGTTTGGGGGAGAAATAATTCTCACCACTGACAATGAATTTTGTCTTTTCCTAGAAACTCTGTGGGAGAAACGCTCAGGCTTGTCAGTGGCATTCAGCATGCTGGCCCTGCCGGTGGGGTCTATGAAACAACCCAGCACTTCAATGATATCAAGGAGCACCTCCACGTCGTAAAAAGGGACATCGAGCATCTAGTCCAGAGGAACATGGTATGGCAATATGTGTCTCATGTTCGAGCCGTTTGCTGCACAAGGCCTGCACGCTGCCACTGAGGGAGTGTGGTGATCTTGCCGTCGTGATGCGCTTGTCTGTCATTTTAGCATCTCAGAGCAAACTAGCAGTACAGTCTGTAGGCTTGTGAGGCAGCCGGCTGAGGAATGCCAGGCCGAGTCTGCACATGTGGCTGTTCACGAGTGGCTGCTGAGTCAAGCACAGCAGTTCCCTTGTGGCGCCTCTAAGCTGCTCTAGCTCTAGCTCAGCTTTGTCCACTGGTTACCCTTTGGGAAGGAGTAATGTGACCAGGATGAGGTACCACCAGGTGCTGCAGGGGCCAGCCTTGTCACAGATCCTGGCTCACATAGTCATCCTCCTGGCTTTGCCAATAAGTCCACAAAAGACATCATGTGTCTGGCATCGCCATCCCTTTCTGGGCCCGACTGCTGCAGCTCCATATGTGCTGCTTTGCTTGCCCTGTCTTCTATCCCTGATACAGCAAGCAAGCAGTGATGATAGTGATAGCATAGCAACAAAGCTCCACACAACCCACCCCTTTTCCGTTCAGTTCAGTTCATGGACTGCCTCTCATGCTCGGCCCCTGCTCCGCATCACATGCAGTTCAGCCCAAAACTGCACATCACGTGCGTGCAAGATGCTTGCAGTTTGTCCGCCATGGGCTCAGTTCCTGGCAAGCGCCATGCGAATGCTCAGTGCACGCACCAGAAAGCCCCATGAAAGCGGGTCAGAGCCCAGGGAATCCAGTGGATTCTTGCCCTCAGATGGATTCCTCACACATCCCTATACATGAGAAGGGAAACATCCACCAGGGACTGTTCACTTCTCGAGTCTCTTTCTGGCGAGTGAGGCTGCAACAGTAGTGAAGAAAAAGAGCGACATCTGGCCACAATTGAGGACGGGGTGGGGAAAAGTCTTGCCAGCACCAGGGGTCGCTATTGTAATGTGCCCTGAAGTTTCCTTCTGCCTGTGGGCAGGGCAAAGAGAACCTCTGCTCCCACATGAATATATTTCTGCATTGCACTTGCTAAAAAACTATTCTATCATTTTGCTTTCTAGCCCTCAAATGAAAAGCCCAAATGTCCAGAGTTGCCACAGTTTCCATCATGTTTATCTACAACACACTTCTTTATATTTGTAGCAGTCCAAACATTGGTGTTCATTGGTTACATCACGTACAGGTAGGTGTCCTTTTTACTGTATTTTGCCAAACAGGTAATGGTTGAGTTCACGCATCGTGACAAGCGACCCTGCTGGGTTATCATGGTTCACTTTTTCTAAACTTCAGCTTGCCTGACAATCAGACTCAGAGTGGTAGCACCTCTTCCTCCTGCTCTCTCCTTCCTCCACAGGAGGCGCTGCTGAGCGGAATCTGCATTGATAGCCACGATTGCGAGCCAGGCTTGGCTCACTGCAGCCATCCTGCTGCCTCTGTTGTTCAAAATGGGGCTTACGCATTGAGGTGCAGTGTGGGGGACTAGGGGTGATCATACATCCTCACCCTCCTGCTCCAGAGGCGATTTGGGAAGGGGGTGATCCATATTCAGGCTCTTGCTCTTGTTTGAGCGGGGTGAGAATCAGCTGGGTGGCAGTAGCCAGTTAGGGACAGCACTGCTCAGTGGATTCCCACCGAGGGGCTCCCTTTGGGCATGAGTGTGGCGGGCACTTTCCACAGTGCCGTCCAGCTGATCACCTGCTCCTGCCCCAAAGAAAACCTGCTCAGTGTGACAGAATTAAGTAGCTCAGACGTGTAAAGTAGCTCTCCCTAAGCAAGTACTAAATATTTGCATCAAGACATAACATATCTCCCATTGCAACCATGCCAAAAAAGCTATTTTCTGAGTCCATGAAATAAGAGGGCTGATTTTACCTGTCATCAGCTTGTACTTTGACAGCCAGCCAAAGACTGATCTTGCTGTCAGCCTTGTAGAATTTTTCTGAACTACTGTGGTAAGTTTTACAGCTCCGTGTGTTTCCTGGAAGAGCATCTCAACTCTATATTCCTCCTCCTGAGTGGCATAAGAGTAGAGGAAATCTACTTGAGGTGTGCTGATGCACGAAAATGAAAGTGAGGCCTCTTGCCGCCTTTCTAATCTCTCTCAGGCTTAATATGAGAGCCTTTGACCTCCAAATTTAAATGTGTGATTTTTTTTAATAGACCCCTGATGTGAACCATTTCTTAAAGGCACATTTCCAGTTTTTATGGTTAGTCTTAAATATGTAGCAGGGTTTTTTGTTTGCTTGCTTGTTTTGCTAACAGCTTAAAAACAGTTCTGGGATCTGAGTGGATCTTCTAACAGTATGTAGACTTGATTCTTTCTGTGAATCTCCGTGAAGTGATTGTACTTCCATCAGTCTCCTTATTTAAAACATGTAAACTAGGGTTGAGCTGAGCAAAAGTACACACTAGGTCTGGAGAGTGCGGTCAACTTCATTGTTTCAGAGCAAGACAGACGGTTCATCCTGGGAGGGCTTGGCTCTAGTCTAGCCATCAAAGAGGAAACATAGAAACAGGGTGAGTCAGAAGGGGTCTCCCTGGCATCTAGTCTGACCCCCGGCTCCAGCCAGGCCCACTCATGACATGCCTACCAGGTACATGTCCAGCCTATCCTTGAACCACCTCCTGTAGAAGTGCATTCCATACTCCAGGGGTCCTAACTGTCTGGAAGCACTTCCTGGCATCCAGATTGAACCTTGGTTCCCTGAATTTGCCCCATTGGAACGTGTCCTGCCCTCCTTTGCAGAGGAAAACAGGTCTCTACCACCTCACAAACCTGTATGTCACCGGCTGAAGCTGAGACTGGTGCTAAGAGAGTAAGGCACCAGCTTCAGGCTCACCCTCTGAATTCTACAGCATTGCTGGATCTTAAAGGAGCCCTGTCTTGTTCAAACAAGCAACATGCGTCCTCTGCTCAGTTTAACAACTTGATGTCTCTTTCCTGTGCTGTGCAGGAGTCAGCAGGAAGCAGCAGCTAAGAAGTTCTTTTGATGGCCGATCTGTGTGCATCCCGTATGTGCATGCAGAGCATCACACAAGTTGCGAATGAGAAGAAACATTAGTGTTCAAAATGCTTCAATATTTTAAATTATTGAGGGTTTTTAAAAAAAAAACTCCATACACTGAATTCCAGATTAAAATATTGTAGAGTTGACAAGGATACTGAAGCAAAAGGGAGGCAAATTCTCCCCTTGAACTCCCATGGGAAGTTGGAATGTGCCCATTACTCTGCTGTGAAGATACTGCCTAGGTGGAGTACTGGAACAAGAAGCTTCGCTCACACTGATTATTACACTGTCTGGTTTTGGAGGGATTGGAGTGGGCAGGAAGACTTGCTGTAAAATATTTGTTACATGTCTGACTTTTTGTTTTAAGAGTGGGGAATCATAAAACTGCATTCTCCTTCTGTTTTATCAGAAAAGGTTGTAAAATTGTCACTGATACTGTGGGTGATGTCAACTGAGCAGAGTCATAGTGTTGCAGGTCTACCTTTTTCTAAAAATGTACAGAAACAGTGGTCAGAAGCAGCATTTGATGAAGTCTCCAGCAAAACCTTCCCCGTCCTGGTGGCTTCCAGATGTATGGAGCGGCACCTCCTATTATCCCCAGCCAGTATGCCCATTGGCTGAAGAGGATAGATATTTGGAGGCTGTCAGGTTGGGCAAGGGTGATGAAGAACAGCAGCTCAATTCTGAGTGGACTTTCTCTTCCTTTTTTCTTTTGCATAGGGAGAAGTCTACAGAAAATTGTACTCCTTTTCAGCATGTTTTGCTATAATTCTTTTGTACTGACACTTACCATACTTTTGTAGAAGTGTTATTTAATCTCTCTTCAGAGAAGAGATCTAGCTGTGCATATGCCTCACCCCAGAGTGTGCGTGCAGTATAGGAGAGTCTCCTTTCAAAACAGTAACTGAGTGTTGCTTCAGAGCATACCATTGCTGCAGTGAGCTCTTCCGAGTGGCACTGCTGTTGTATACTTTCATTGAGGACATGTTGTACACTTTGCTAGCATTCTTGCACATTGTCCCATCGTTAATCTCATTTTTACTGGACCAGTGTTGTGTTCTTAAAAAAAAGACAAGTATTTTATGTTGATCAGCTTACTGTGTGAACATTCTTGGGGAGATTCTCAAATGGAAAGCAAAATCACTCTGCCTTGTTTATCTTAGAACTTGACTTTGTCTTGCTGCCATCGAGCTTTTTTAACATCTATGAAAACTGTAACTGATTAGATGGTTGGTGTCCTTTCATTTGAAGAAGTCATAGCATTTGACTTTAAACCGAACATTAATCAAAAGGCAGCTCTACTCTACCACATTCAGTATTACATATGTTGAAGGCATTGTCCCTGATTTCTTTGAGGAAGAGAACAGAAATCTATGCAATAGGAATAGGTCTTTCCAACATTACCTTCCCTCTCAAGAAATTGGTAGCATTATGTGCTGAATTGTAAATGATAAATATTTCTCATCAAGTTTTTATTTGCAGCTGTTAAAAAAATCTGCAGTTCAGAATTAACAATTCATAATGCACAAATAAGGACAAGTAAAGAGTAGCATTATTTTAACTAACCAAAATTACAGGAGAGGGCAATTTGCCCACTCAGTTTTACACCAGCAAGTATTTTTACAGGTGCCTTGGACAAGTGAATTAAAGATTTGCTGTAAAACTGACCTGCTGCTCAAGCACTTGCTAGTGTTGAATTTTGCCCATGGCTCACTCCCACCAGCACCAAAGAAGATGCAACTTCTGCTGCCGAAAGTCTTTTCAGTGCTTTTTTTCTGAAAGAACTGATTCTCTTGGGGTGTTTCTTCTTGGAGTAAATACAAATTCTCTTGCTGAGCACACTTGTATTTTGTTTTGGCATAATATGACTCTTCCCAGCTGTGACACTCAATTTGAGAATTAAAATATTGAAGCTACCACTGGTATGGTTCTTGTGTTCAGATGGGATTAAAAAAAGCTCCGATCTTGGAGACTGGAATGAAAACCACAGCTTTACTCAAAGGTTGTGGCTTTTTGGCCTGTTGTCTTTAATGGGAGGGGAGAAAATTAAGGCTGGAGCCCTTTCAAGAGGCAGTGTTTTTCCAGGTGGATGCATCTGTATTAATACAAAGTGAAAATGGAAGGGGCTTTCTCAAGGGAGGCTGCAGACTACTATGTCAGATGGCCTCATCATTACAGCTTTGCTTTTTGGTACTAGAGCTGTCCATGATGGCAGACCTCTTGGGAGATGAGTGGATGAGGACTTCACTGATTTTAGAGTCGTCAGCCTTCCCTTTGTTTGCTATGTAATCCCTTCAGCTTCTGTGACATCCTTGCATCTAAGTCAGCTTGGTCCTATAGGAGAGACATCACATTCATTGTCCTGTGTCTCAGTCATAATTTTTCTCAGTATGGCATGTTATCAAACATAAGAAATTTAAGGCCAGTCCTACAGTGTCTACTCAGAAGTCCCAATGCATTCAATGGAACTTACTTGCAGGTACAGAAACCTCCCAGATCTAGTGCCTTCTACATACTTGGGACTGCAGTTCCCAGCATTTCTGATCCTTGGCTGTGCTGACCTGGGAGGCAGAGAACATAGAATCTGAAACATCTGGAGGGCACTGGTTTGAGGAAGACTTGAGCTGTAGAATTTTAGCTGCTATGTTTTTAATTTCCAAAAGCTGTTTGTATTAGCATTTCTAATTGGCACAAGTATGTTCCTTAAACTACAACAGATGTTAAGAATTTACAACCCAGTAGGAAAAGCAACTGATAAATTGGGCATGTTAAATCCCTGTTGCACATGGTCATGCTGATGGGGAAAGCTGAAGCAACTAAATGTAGAATTTTCTTAACTATGTTTGTACAAGCCACCTTCTATAAGTGAAACCTACTGTCATCTCATGGAAGTACTGCTGAAGAGAATTTAATTTTATTGTCAACTCTTGTGTGCTTAAAAAAGGCAGCTGTCGTGATGTCTCAGAATTCCAATACTTAAGAAAAACATTTGAATAAATACATATTTTAGCAAATCTTGTTGAAATTTGTAATTTGGCCAACATTTACTGGTGGTTGGACCCTCTGAAGAAAAAAAACAGTCTCAGCGTATAAATATTGCAGTTTGCATAATTTATAACATACTGTAAGCATACTAATACTAGAAAATCCTAAACTTTTTTAGCCCAGTGCTGCATAATCAGAATGCCAGGGTTCCCAGCCCACCCCCTGCCCGTCCGTCTGTCCATCTGTCAGTGTGTGTGCGTAAAGAACATAGTAAGCCCCAGATCACTGTATTTCACTTTTATAAAAAATCAACTTTTCTAATGCATTTACCATCTTCATAAAGGAAAACTCACGCCTGCTGATTAACAAGCTTGGATTACGGAACATCCTGTAAGGTGTGCTTTAATTAGAAAGGTGCTAAAGTGAATTAAGAGATTAACCAAGAAGGACTCCTCCCATATGTCCAGTGAGATGGTGACTGTTGGACAGTCTGCATTTACATGGACTTGATTCATATTGTTAAAGGTCCGCCCAAGAATTGTTAGTTCAGCTTTATATATCCTGGAAAAAGTGTGTTATAACACAGTGCTCTGACAAAGGGATTCCAAGCTGTATGGGATATGCTGTAAAACCTTATGGAAATCTCTATTAGTCATGCATTAAATGCCTCTCAAATCATTTAAGCTAAAGATGTATAGATTAAAACCAAGGTTCATATTTGGGTGTGCTCCTAGACCCAGAATGGTCACTGGAGTCACAACTGGACTCTGGCTAGGAGTATCTTTTATCAGCTTAGGGCCATTGTTGGGAAATCAGTCTATCTGAACAGGCAGAGTCTGCCATGGTTATTCTCCCTCTGGTAACCTCTCGTCTGGACTATTGCAACATGCTCTTTGAAAATGGTCCGGGAACTCCAACCACTTCTGAACAGAGCACTGTGGCTGTTAATGAGGACTGGCTCATGAGACCGTATCACACCAGCCCGCTTTCAGCTGCACTGGCTGCCAGTCAAAGTCCAGGCCCAATTCAAAATGCTTGTTCTAACATTAAAAGCCCCAGATGGCTTGGGGCAAGTTATCTGAAGGAGCACCTTGTCCCATATCTTCCTGTTTGACCCTTCAGATTGTCTGTCAAGGTCCTCAATGAACCGCTGCCCCCTTAAAGAAGCAACCAGGAGAAGGGCCTTTTCAGTATTGGCACCCCGTCTCTGGAATATGCTACCCAGAGAAGTACACCTGGCACCCTCCTTGCCATGTTTTCAGCAACAAATGAAAACCTTTTTATTTTCCAGCTATCTTTATAGTTGATCTGTTGTATTTTGTTATCTGCTGAGCCAGTTTTAAATATTGTTTTATTATTTGCTGCTGTCTGCGGTGCCCAGGGTGCGGGGGGGGGGGGGGGGTTAAATTATTATAGCTGCTGCACTTTGTTGTCCTTACAGGATTGCCCTTACACCTTTCAACAGTAAGGTTGTTGTCTTACTGTTTTAGTTTTTTATGGTCTATTTAATGTGAGCATTTTATGAACTCTATTATATGATTTTTAAATTTCTACACTGTCCATAGAGCCTGTGAGCTATAGGGTGGTATATAAATGCCATAAATAAATGAAATAAAGAATAAAGAATTCCACAAATGGTTTCTGTGCTACACAGAGCCAACTTTGGGAAGCTTCTGTAGGGAAACCAGAGTCTCAGTGTGCATTTCGGTCCTTGCACACTCGAGCTGGTGTGGCTCTTGCCTTCCAATTTAGCCACATTATGACACCTACTGAGACCATGACAGAAAGCAAACTAGCTAAACATTTACAAAAATGACAACAATCCCCAAAAACCTGGCTTTTCTGCTTTTATGTATTTATTCTGTTTCTCTTTCCTCTAGTATTCTTGGTTGTGTTTCACCATTTAAATGTCCTTCATCTTTCTTTCTTCAGCACCATTGGTGCAAACTACATGCCACCCACTTCGTAGGTGCCCATGGCCATTTTCAGAAAGTGGTCACTATATCTTGCTAAGTTGCCATCACTGGGTAGCATTTCCCTCTGCCTCCTGTGGCTGGGTGAGGAACATCTTGCGATGTTACGTAAGCCGTCCTGAGGCTATGTGATAGGACGGCATACAAATACTATGAATGAATGAATGTGTGCAACTAATGGCAAACTGTCCTTATGAACTGGGTGTAGAGAAACAGAAGGGAGGTCTCCTTTGAGAGAAATCACTTGAGGGATCCGTACCAGTTTATCAAAACGCTTCTACGATATCACATCATTATATGGGATGCGTAAACACACACCACTGTACAACTTGAGCAGTAAATATCATCTGCATAAAACACATATTTAAAATATAGCAATTATGCCAAAAGCCCCTGGCTGGGCTATCTACTGGGGAAAGCTTGCCTAAGTAAGAATAACAGGATTTGCATGACAAGGCAACCCATAGTGGGTGATAAGCCACAGTGGGCTGTTGGGTTGTACTAACCCAGACTGTTTCCTGCAGGATGGGCAACAAACTGCCCTGACAATCTATGGCTTGTACTTGGGGTTGTTTCCATCCATAATAGGTTGGCACATCATCCAGACTCAAGCAACTGTCCCCATTGTGGATGAAACAGCAAGCAAGCCTCTTGCCATTCTAGCCCACTGGTTCCATACCCCCTACCATGTTTGCAAGCCCTTTTGAGCTAACTGGCTTACTCTCTTCAGTTATCTCTTTTTGTGATCTCTGATTTGACAGCTAATGAAACTCCCTCTGAAGTGCCCAAGCGGCACGCTGGAGGGGCAGCTGTCACTGGTTAATAACCGTTTTTAAAAATAATTTTGAGTCCCAAATATACAGGATCTTGGGTGTGTATTTAAAATCTAGCTGGACTTTTGCGCTTTCATGGGTGTGAAATAGAGTGCCTTATGGTGGGCAATGCTGGGAGGTGGGTGTCTGCTGTCAAAGTGTAGCAGGCATTTCTCATGAACATTGACCCAGACAGCCTGCCAATTATTTTTTTATTTTGTTTCTCTTGACAACTACCCAAAGGTGGGCTGTCAAGGAAAAACAAAGGTGTGAGTTATCTCCATTTGCAAAAGGTGGATGGCCTCTGAGGCACAGCTGGGGTGCAACAGGCAGTCTTGCTGCCCAGCCAATTCAAGGGCCAGCAGGAGCAAGGGAGGGCAGCAAAAAGAAAAAGGCCTCAACCTCTGGCAGATTCCCTGGTCCCAGGAAATTCCCAGGGATTTGGAGCAAACCATTGCCCTGTACCCCCCTGGTTCTGGGAATAGGGTTAGCCAAAAGTAAGTGTTTTTCCGCCTCCCCAGAGACTTGGGGAAAAGCCACCTTGAGGGTCCTTGAGGTGCCGATTTGCCAGCCTGCAGGGGATTAAGGAACCTGCAAGGCCTCTGGCCAGGAAACGTTCCCACATTCATCATTCCAGAGACACTCCTGCCCAAGGCAGCACACTGGTTAGGTTCATGATCCCCGAGGAACAAGGGCAGCCAGTACAGCAGAGTCCAATCTAGGTAGAGATGCAAGTATAACGTCTAGCACCTGTGCCATCTCTGTTGGAGCAAAGAGAGGGACTCAGTGGGTGTGTTGTGGGCCTAAGGGCTACACCCATAGGATCCACCTTGCCGCTAAGTCCAAAGCATAGATAGAAGAGGTGGAGGTCCATAGAGACAGGACCCAACACCGATTCCTCCTTTTGCTACTATTCCAATGAGATCCAGATTTCCCTCCCTTGGGGCTTCATGCTTTTTGGACCCCAAGGAAGGTGTTCCTCCTAAAGGGAACAAGACCAGAGCCTTGGGGAAGGATGTACAGGAAAAAGTACAGACCTCGGTCTGCCATAGAACACAAAGAAGACAACCTCAACAAGGAGATTGGCCCATCCAAGATTAAAAGGTACCCAGGTTCGCTTTTATATGATATATTGATATATTAATCTGCTCCCCCTTGAGGGAAAGGAGTATCCAGAACATTGGTAATGACCTATAAAGTGTTGGTAATGACCTATAAAGCCCTAAACGGCTTGGGTCCTGGTTACCTGAAGGAGCGCTTACGTCCATATGTGCCCGCCCGCCCCTTGAGATCAGCGGGAGAGGCCCTTCTCCGGGAACCCTCCGGGAAGGAAATTAGGAGGGTGGCTACTCGGAGGAGGGCTTTCTCTGCGGTGGCGCCCAACTTATGGAACACGCTCCCCAGAGAGGTCTGCCTGGCGCCGTCGTTATTTGCTTTTCGGCGCCAGGCGAAAACCTTTTTATTTAAGCGGTATTTTAACTGTTAGTATTAACTGATTTTATCTGGCCAGGGCGGCTTATTTTATATTGTATTTTTTGGATTTTTAATGTTTATATTAATTTATTGTTGTAAGCCGCCCCGAGGCTTCGGCAAATGGGGCGGCATAAAAATGTTTTAATAAATAAATAAATAAAACATCACCAAGTCCCTGGTGGCCTTGCAATCCTTGGAATTCCTGATCAAGCAGAAAAGAAGCTCCCCCACCCATTTCAGCCCCTCCTCTACTTGGGATTGACCCTGGATACAACCAAAGACATGATATCTCTAGGCAGAAAGGCCCTGGTGAGTTTGCGGGCAGTCATGTCTTCTCCAGAAAGGATATTAACTTCTGGAAACCAGTGAAGCTGATGGGAATGGTTGTCCCATGCCAGGATTCTGTCCGGTGGCTAAGGTCCCACTCAGAGTCATTGTACAAGATGGCTTATCTCACTGGCAGTGTCGGAAGGTACACTTGCCCACTCAGAGACTGGCCATTTGGGCAGCCTTATAGGGAAGGGCTCCACTAGAAGAGATCTCACACTTTCACCATGTGAGATCAACCTGTGTCCCTCTGTTTTCTTCAACGGGCATGTTCTCCAGAGGGCACTCCCAGTTTGAGGGGTCTGTTGGCCCACCCATGGATGCATTGCTTTTTTTTAACATCACAGGCTAGCTGGCCTCCTGCACTCAAGTGAAGAAATATTTGCTTGTGAATTTCTGTCCTCTTCAAATGGAAGAGGCCAGATAGCCCAGCCCTTGAGCTTCTTCTTTCTAGTCCATTAGACCTTGCTGTCATCACTTCCACAGACTGAAAATCATTCAAATAGTTGATGGGACATCAGCAAGGACCACATACTTCCAGTGGAGCATGGATTTATTGGAAGTATCAGCTGAAAAGCCTAGGAGGGGCTGTGCTTCCTCCAGGAACACCAAGACAGAGGCTGCCATCCCAGCCTTGAAGGCAGTACTTCTCCCAAGCCAGCTGGCCTCCTCCACTTGAGGAGAACTGAAATTTATTGGTGAGATGCTGTAGAGGCAACTTGAATTTGGATCCTGCCATGACAGGGCCATCATTTTTGGCACACTTGTCAAATGGCCCAGTACCCTTGTTGCACTCTGGCACCTGGTCAAGAATAAAGCTTCCAACCAGCAGGTTCACCACCTTTGGAGGTATCCTAGAAGCAGAAGCAGACCTGCCTAAATCTGGTCCACCTGAAGCAATTGTCCAGGTGCTCAGTGGGACCAGTAGGATTTCCTCTGCTAGTACTGGTGCTGGAGTAGCCTGCCATCATATTTCTAATATTCGATTGATGGAGGAACCATCCCCAGCTCTTTTCTTAGATGTGAATAGAATGGCTAAGGGACCATCTTACTCTGAGGGAGACACTATGGTGAAGACGGCATGGAGGATCCACAGGAAGCAACTATTGCACCTTTCACTCGACCTTCTTGGTAACGTTCTCTTGGTTTGTCATCCTCCAGCTCTGTTTCTCCACATTCTGGGTTGGTTACTGTCACAGGCTGAGCATATTGGGTTTAATCTGCTTATTGCGATTGTTACTCCCTGTTACATTTCTCTCAGAGAATGTTGTTGGTTCCACCTCCCTAGGGATGAGTTCTGGAGTAACATGTATCATTGTTTTAATCCTCATCAGTCCTGAAGCATGGAGGCTGCCCTAACCTTGAGGTTTTGGCATGGCTGTCCAAATCACAAGGTCCACTGCTCTAACCAAGAGTCTTATACACAATCTCCACTTTGAATTGAGGAACCTTTTAGTGAGCCCACTGCTGACATATTGATCCAAAAGCAAAAACCTCTTCTGACTAGGGGCATATGGGTATTACAGGAGAACAACCCATCATTAGCAGATATCCCCTTTAGTCTGAGCCACATTCAGGTTCCCTTCTTTCAGGAATTACATCAAATAGGCTTGTTGGCTGACAAAAAGAACTTTCTTATGGATAAACTAAAGTCTTCTAACCAGTGTTGGGGTTTTGATTCTTCAAAATGTTTTTGATGGCCCAATCTTCACCCATGATCAACCGCTACCTGTCTTTGGACTTCACCTCCAGGATTTTGCTAGTTCATGACAAAAGAGTCCCACAAGCACAAACCATCATCAGAGTTAAATGTGATAAGAGTTCTTCTTTCAGAAGGTCTTTATCTCACTACCATCTCTGTCTTTTCCATTAAAAGGGTAAATTTTGGCACTCCTCCAAATGGGAACAGTGGAAACAGTGACCATCAAGGGCTCAAGCAAGTGGGTTCTACTCATGAACCTCACTGTATTGATAAGAGTCCTCAGTTGTGGATCTTTGTCTTCTCAACACCTTCAGCAGGCCCAGGAAGTTAAGCAGCTATGGTTGTGCCTAAGGGGTCAGCAAAAGACTGAGCCTTCCACAGGCAAAATGTGTTGTGACACAGAGTTATAGTCCCTAGCCCTAGACTTTTGCTTTAGTCTAAATTTATGCCTTCCAGTTCCACTCACATGATTAACTCCTTTTTCCGCCATATGCATGTTTTAGCCTTACAACAACCCTGGGAGATAGGCTAGGCAAAGGAGGAGGAGGAGGAGGAGGAGGAGGAGGAGGAGGAGGAGGAGGGAGCGAGCGAGCGAGCTTGGCTCAGGGTCATCCAATGTGCTTTGTGGCTGAGTGAGAATTTGAAGCTGGGTCCTTTGAATCTGACACTGCATTGAAATATCCCAAGTTCTGTTCTGAGATCACACAAAAGTATATTGTTTTTGATGGTTGATTTAAATAGAGAGATTTTAAACAAGGAGATTAGTACCTTGGTCTAATATACATTTAGCCTGATTTTCCATTGGCCAGCCACAATAATTTAAGAGACAGAAAGAGCAGAATGGGTGGACATCCTGTGCCCAATGGGATAAAGCAATATTAATGGATAAAAGGATTGATTCTCATTTAATGAAGAATCCCATTGCTTCCTCTACAACCGCAACAAATCTCTTTGGCCCATGTCTGTCCAACATGAGTTACTGACAGTCCACAATGCTTCGGTCAGCAACTGGACCCTACCATTTCAATTCCAGCAACAGAATCAAGTAGATACAAGGCATGCTTTGTGTTCAGATATTCAAAAACCAAGGAAAACTCAACATTGTCTCCATGTCTATGGAGATTTTTGTCTTTTGTTTTTAGCATTAAAATTGGCTTAAGGTATTAATATAAAAAGTAGGTAGCTGCATCTAATGATTTTTTTCCTCTCTGAGTAATCTGAACCATCTGGCTCTGGATAGTAAGGAGTTCACTGCCTTAATCCAGATTATGGCTGACAACCCGTTTTTGGCATACAGTTTTCACTAGCACGGTGCCCTTCAAGAGCACTGTGGACATTTCCCATTTGCTGACTAGTTTATTCTTTTCCTTTTGGGGTCTATTTTCCGTTCTTTGCTTATTTATCATCTTTTTAAAGGGTTTTTTCTTTCAATTGGGGAGAAGGAGAAGAAGGAGAAGGAAAGGAGAAGGAAGAGTAGACGCAGAAGAGATGGCTTTCCTAATGAAAAGTATGCTGAGCAACCAAGTGAAAAATTTAGGACTTGGTGGAGGGGGTGAAGAAAGCAAGGAAGACTCTGCGCCTTCTGACCCAGCCGCAGCAGCAGGAATGACCCGGGAGGAATATGAAGAGTATCAAAAGCAAGTGATAGAAGAAAAGTGAGTACCCATTCGCATTGTTGTCACACAACTGATCTATGCTGTCTCTGTTCAAAAGAGAATAAAACCACAAAGGGGGATATAGGAGTGAGTGCAGTCTCTACATTAACTTCTCTGAAGAAGCTCCATTGATTTTTTTGTCATGGCATTGTCTCCTGGAATATTACACCACTGCATCTGAATTTTCTTTCTCCATATTCCTAGGAAGGAAAAAGGAGGGATGCCTTGCATGTTCTGGCTACTTTTTCCAAAATAATAACCATAGATATGAATGCAGAGTTTCACATTTCTATTGATCAGTTAAACATGTTTGAAAAGGCTTTAGTTTTTGCTTGCATTCATTGACTAATTTTTTTAATTTGGTTTTTGTCAGTGTTATGCACAGTGCAAAGTTAGGTATATTCTAAACACACACACACACACACACACACACACACACACACACACACACTTACATAGTTAATGTTTGATGTTACATGAGCCTCCTTCCGAAAATACCAGAGTGTTCTTAAAATTCTCTTTTGCCCCTATGATTCATAACAAGTATGCCAAAATGGAGTCAGCTATGATTTAATTCCCTTCACCTAAATGAGACCAGATTTTGAAAATTATAATTGTGAGCATTTTTATTTGTCTGTCATTCCTATGAACACACACACCTCTTTGTGGCTGTTAAAATGAAGCTGGGTATTTGTAGGAAAGGATTTTCGAAAGTTGCTTGTCAAATATAAAATTCCAAGGTCTCATTACATGTGAGGCCATGTAAAGCAAAATACAAAGTTCCATAAAAACAGAAAAGCTGGGCACAATTGCAGCTACAAAAGCAATTGACTTTCAAATCTCTAGTGCATCATTTCATTAATGATCAATTACATAATGGTTGGCTAAATCCCACTTCTAAGATGATTATGGGTGAAAGGTTAATGACCTATGGAATTTAAGGCAAACCAGACTATATTTAGAAGCAGCCATTTTTGTCACATGGATTATGGAGAATGCAACTTTTTGTATTTTACACTTCCTAGACTTTTCCTCAAAAGTGACGTGGAGGTGGGTAGGGGGAGTCAATACTGTCCATCCAGTAGCGCTTTCCAAACCTGGACAAAGCAAATACCTTGCATTTAATGCTCTCTCGAAATAATATTCTTAATTGAGGTAGCACTTAAAGCTGTGTTGTGCTTCCCCTTAGCAGAAAACAAAACTAGCATGCTTTTCAAGGCTGGAATTAAACTTTGTACCCAGGGCAACAGATAGAAGCAAGAGACGCAGCAGTTACGTAAACGGTGACTGAGTCATCCAGGGAACCTGGTAATAGGTGCAGCACCCTCCACTCCCCCAGTATCTCTGTTTGATAGCTGGACAGACTGCATTTCACAGAGCTTAAATGATTTGCCAAAGGTCAACCAGTGAATCAGTGGCTCAGAATGGATTAAACCCCTAGTGGCCCTCCTATTTTCTTCTGGTTTTCCTGTATTTACCACATTATCAATGTTCAGAGTGCAGTTCTGCTGTCAAACTATCAAAAATAGATGTGTGCAAATGAAAGGAGAAGTTTTCATATAATACAAGGCCAAACCCCAGGAGTGTTATGAATGAGCACCAATTAGTATTATACAGAGTGATCAGGGAGCTCGAGAAAGACCATCACCATTGAATTCCATTCCTCAAGCGTCCTCACTAGGGGCACATCTTGGTAGGCTTCTCTCAATCTGTCATGCAGCATCCATGACAACTTGGGTTGCCACGTAATTGAGAAAAAAACGACCTGACCTACTCTTATGCCTTTAACAGCTTCTTGATTCACAAGGGATGCTTTTCATGTGGTGGAGATAAGCACTGGTATCTGCTAACCCCTTTGTGTCACACTGTTGTCAAAGGAACAGCTACAGCGTCTGGTTAAAATGTGGACAACCCTAATTGCATGGAATCACTCAAGCAAGAACTGTGATTTGCTTGGACCGGGAAGGAAGAACTGTGGGTGCGTTGTTGACAGTAACACAACCTCCAGGCTATAGTGAGGGAGCATTCCTTGCTTCTGCTTTGTATCCTGGTGGCCATGTTTACTCTGCAGGGATAAAGGACAACTGCCTGTTTTGAGAAAGGACACCTAACCCTGTCTATTGCTCTACTTGAAGTGATCCTCTCTAATGCTGGAAGAAGAAATAGGGGTGGGAAATTCAGCATTCTCACCTGATTTGTCATCTTGGCCAGACTTTAGTTCAGTGATTTTTGAAACATTTGAAACCAATCCCCCTCTTGTTTCTAAATATATATAATCTTTGGGTTCTTGATCCCTTCCAGGACCAGCTGCCTGAGGCAAAGGACATGATGTACCCTCCTCACTATTCCATGTATACTTACTGACTGAGCTGGCAGAATTTTAGTCTAGACTTTGAATTTTACTTCCCCATTGGGAATTTGCATTTCATTCCATGTATTACAATTTTTACCACCTTCAGCTTAGGGGGCAGAAGGTAGAGGGATACAGTGACTCTGTCTGCCAGTCAGTCCTCAGCAACTCCTGCCTGAGGTGGCCCCCTCATCCTACCTAAAGCTGGCCCTGACATGGTCATTGTGCCCAGAACCTGCATGGTTGTGTACACATTGGTTTAGTAAGGATACCGGGAAAAAGCAACGAACGTGGGCAAACCTGTAGCAGAAGCATGGACCATGTTTTCCACTCAGAAATGATAGCTGATTAACATGTCAAAAATCTGCTACAATTGAAGCTTAGAAACACCCTGAAATTTACTAGTGCAAGTGTATTTTCTAGGACCCAGAGTGTGTCTGAAGGCATGCAAGGTATCCACCATTGTTGAAGCTAAGCAGATAAGGGGCTGACCTGAGCCTGGAGGGGAGACCACCTGGGAACCGCATGTTGCCATCATGAGTTCTTCAATGGGAGAAAGGGGAGATATAAATTGAATAAATTACTAACTAGTGAACAGGCCTACCTTAATGCAGCTTAGCCTGATTCAGTGAAACCCTCAAGAAAACCACTCTAGTTGTCAGCGCTGGATCCATCCTGACTGCCTCTATCTAAATGAAGTCTTGCTTTTGCTGACCTCTACACTGGTACATCTTATTGCCCCCTGAAAGATGGCTTTACCACTTCATTCTCCCATTGGGGGGCTGCCCCACATTACGAGGGGAGAAGCCATACAGCTGTGTTTCTCAAACTATGAAGTCCCCCTAGCTGCAAACTGCATGAACTGCAAAACTGTGTGCTGCTTAGTGAAATTTGGTACCTAGTGACTGAAGTTATTGCTGCTTGAAATGCACAGACAGATTTTAATTAATTAAATTAATTAATATGTTTAAAAAGCAAATTACCCCAAGGCACAAGTGCCCTTAGTATGTATGCTACTTTTTAGGAGTGCACCCTTACCTGTAAATAGGCATCATTTTAAAATGCACATTTTAGAGTGTTACCATGCTTTGATTTAGTCAGTTTTGGGATATGTTAATCAGCTGTTCTCCACTGTTCTCAGTGGAGAACAGCTTCGAATGCACCTGTTACCTTTTTGTTCGCTGTAACTGTATATTTCCTAGACCACATTGCCAGCTGCCCCATGTGCCAGTCTGTGGATTGAGGTATTCCACTCTGACACTGGAAGAGGAATTGATCAGGGGCTGGCTAACTTCCTCACATCCAACTCTTCAAAGCCAAGCGTATCTCCAGAACAAAGCTGCAGCTGTTCCTGAATTCCCTTCTTATATCTCTGTGGGATTGTAACGTAACACAGCACGTAATGTTATGTGTTACGCCACCCTACCTATCCACCGCAGATGAGTGCTGTTCCTCTTCCAGAGGACATTCGACTCTCCCAAGTCTCTGGGAAGGTGTGTGATGAAGCCATCACTTGCCTCACCATCTTTGGCCTCCCTTGACCATTGTGTGACCCCCTTCTCCATGCCTCACACTTCCAGGACTCCATATCTCAGTTTCAGAAGCACCACTTTAGCTATTGATGTTAAAGATGCCTCAACATTATATTGTGCTTTCCTACAACACTCCAAAATCCCCAAGAGCTTTGCATGTTTCTCTAATGCATCCTGCTTTAGCTTGGTGACTTCCACTGCCAGCTTCACTGGTTGATTGGTCCTGCTGGTTCAGGTGGATGAGAGTTGAAGTCTGAAACACCTGCAGGACACCACGCTGGGGCAAGTTGCTCTGAACTTCCAGGATTCATCTATTCATGGGGGGTGGAGACCATTTTTTTCTGTAAAAGGCTGCATTGCCTCATGGGGAATCCATCGGGAGTCTGGTTAGTAATGTTGGATGGAACTGGAACCCAAGTGCCCAGAGTATGAAGCTAGTCTACAGATCCCCCGGCTGTGCACCGGTGAATACCAATGCTGGGGAGCAGCCATCACACCCTGCTGGTGGGCACAACATCCAGGTGGCCACTATGGGAAGTGTGATGCTCAACCGGATGGACCTCAGGGCTCTTCTGAGCCCATCTCTGAAAAGCCACCTCTTCTTTGGAATGACATCAAGAAAGCAAGAATGAGCAAAAACTCTGTGTGGCTTTGGAATGAACAAATCGTTCATGTTTCCAAAGCTTCTCCCACCCCAGGTTGCCATCAAAGATGTTCCTCTGTTTTCAGCAGTTTCTCCCATAGGGAGATGTATAGCATATTTTTGCACTTCTAATTCTTCAGTGTCAGGAAATTTGACGCTCTCTCTCTAGATAGATAGATAGACAGATGATTTATATCCCACTTTTTTTCTTTTTTAAAGAATTTAAGGCAGCTCATATCTTGCTGCTCTCAATCTTATCCCCATAACAACAACCCTGTGAGGTAGGTTGGGCAGAGAGACTGTGACCACCCAGACTCTCAAGTCACCCAGGAGGCTCCATGACTGAGCAGGAAACCCAGATTGACTGAGTCCCAGTCCTGTGCTCTTAACCACTACACCACACCGGCATATCTCTTCAGTTCGAAAGGATGAAGTTTAACTAAGGGTCAGAATGCACATTCTGTAGGCAGAAATTCCAAATTCAGTTTGGGACATCTCAGCTAGAAGGACTGTGTTCCAGGTGATTGCAAAGACCTCAGCCTAAAGGCATACATTACTTAAAACATACTTTTTTTAAAAAAATAGGTGCACTTTATGGCCACCCAGACAGCATGATGCTAACAGGCAGCTTTTATACAGATTTAATAAATAAGTAAAATGACTGCTCTTACTTTGATGGGTGAGTAGCCATTGGGACCCTGATCCACATCAACAGCAACCTTGGAGGCAAATAACAGTTTGGGAAGGGAATTTTCAGTGCAGGGCCTCAATCCAGAATGAAACTGAGTCAGACGGATAGCTAGTCTGACCCATCAAAGGCTGTTTCTGAAGATTCAGTCCCACCCCAGCATGTAACTCTTAAAGGCAGCACTTTCCAGCCCAAAGCTGCTCACACGTAATCCTTACGGGGAAGTGCTTTTCTTGTGGTGCAGTTCCATTCAGCACCTGCAGGGGCACTGGTGGCACCAGGGTAGGGTCCTCCTCCATTCCTACTTTTATGACACTTCATGGGAGCTACTCATGGTGCTCTCTAAGAGTGAACCTATTTTGGGGAAGGAGTTTGGCACCATGGATAGCTCCAATATAGCTCGAAAGAAAAGCCGCAATGGAGGAGGATCCCCACTGACACAGGAGTCCCCGGTCTCCCCTGCCAACAGTTGACCTAAAGGCTGCACCTGTGCCATTAATGTATGCATATTGGAAGTAGCTTGGAGAGCCAGTGGGGTGTAGTGGTTAAGAGCATGGGATCGGGACTCAGGCGATCTGGGTTCTAGTCCCCACTCAGCCATGGAGCCAACTGGGTGACTTTGGGCCAGTCACAGACTCTCAGCCCAGCCTCCCTCACAGGGTTGTTGTTTGGGGATAAGGTGGAGGAGGAGATTGATGTAAGCTGCCTTGAGCCCTTAGTAGGAAAAAGGCAGGATATAAATCCAAAAATAAATAAAAATAAAAATAAATGCAGCTTTTCTTATGATTGCATGAACCAGCCCCGGTCCAAAAGTGCCTCCCTCACGTCTCAGGCCTATTCTTACCTTTGGCAATGGCCTGGCAAAATTCCAATTATCCCAGTTTCATTTTGGGAAGTCAAAACCAGGAGCACAGCCAGGGGTTCCAACTTTGTTTGAAGTATTTCCCCATTTCTCTCTGGCTTTTGATAGACGGCAGAAACAATCCTCCACTGCAGGCTACTAGAAGGGTAGAGCGGGCTAAGGACTCACCTTTTGAACAATCAGATATACAACCAGCTTCCTTTCATCTCCCTGCCCAGTTCCTTCTTTTAAATGTGTTTGCCAGTGCTCTGCTGCAGTAGCAGCAATCCTCTTCCATTACAAGCCACCTCACCCCTTCAACAATCCGAAGAGCAAAAGAAGGGGGAAACAATCCTTGTTTCCTGTGCATGTGGAAGTGTTGCACCCCATGTGTGATTTCAGTCCTGTAGCTCGCAGTTGTGGTGTCTGGACTACCAGTTCACAACAGTGCATAGATCCAGCTGAAACCTGGAAACAGCAAATCGCATTCCCTGGACAACCCAGCCTGACTTCCACCTCCAGAAGTATGATCAATACCACCCCACTCTTCTGAAGATAAGGGGGCTTCCATGGCTGGAAGGACTAGCTCTGGACAACCCATCCTACATCAGCAGGCCACAGACGTGCAGGCGATGGCAGCACAAGGCTACATTCAGGAGCTGCCACCACCAATTTTCCCACAATGCTTCTGATGTTGCATCACTGTGGGAAAGTAAGATGGCAGCTCTCAGACCCATTCTAGGGGCGGGCAGTGAGCTAGTCCACTCCTGACAGGAGAACAGGTTCCAATGGAAGATTAGGAGAAACATTTTCATGGTGAGAGAACATTGACTGTGAAATTAACTCCTGAGGAGGCCTCTATGCAGAGGCTGAACAGATGGTGTTTGGGGATACTCTAGCTTGAATTTCCTACCTCAGCTAAGTGGCTGGCAAGGAACCTCCATCCTATGACCTGCCTTCCCCCAACCCTAGAAGGAAAAAACTGCCTAACTGGATGGGGAGGATGGGAGTTGTAACCCTGGATTCAAAGGGTTGGGGCAGGAGATGTGCCCTTTATAGTTACAGAACCTCCCATTTCCACTTCCAGGATGGAGCGAGATGCTGCCTTTGCACACAAGAAGGCCGAGAGAGCTGTCCTGAGGGTCCATTTGCGAGAGAAATACAGACTCCCAAAGGTAAGTGTCCCCACTCCCCCGCAATTTAAAAAAAATCATGTAATGGCGTCAGTGTTTATCCTCTGTCACCCAGGAATTTTAGATGAAAGGTTAGTTGCCCATGTTCCTCACTCTGCAGTGAGGCACAAGGAAGGAAGAGAAAGACAGAAATGTTACAATAATCTCCACAATGATATTAATCTCCGTCTCTCTCTCATAATCATGAATAATAGTTTCAAAAGATCTTGCTTAGCCTTCTGCAACCTGTGCCTGCCAGATGGGTTGGACCACAACTACTTTCCACCCCAACCAGCCTGGCTAAGGGTCATGGAGGATGGAAATGGTAGTCCAAAAAGCTGGAGGGATACCATTCTGACATCAGAATTAGGTATATTCTCAAAAAGAGAGAGAGAACATTTTACACTTCCAGGACAGTGTAACTGAGTTTTAGGTGGCTATTACGAAACAAAAGCACTTTGAAAAGTGATGACAATGTGAAATGATTGTTCAAGTCTCTCCCCAGAGGTTTTGTCCAGGATCAAGGGGTGTATGTGTATCCCCACACTAATTTTGTTTTAATTAGCTTACCAGTGTCAAAATGTCTGTGTAATCTATAACTACTGACAGTTCTTAACATAATCATCACCAATTAGTTTTTCTGAGCTGACCTCACTTTTTAATAGTATCCCCACCCATAACTAAATGTGTGCGTGTGTGTACATACATACCTTTAACAAATGAAGTAGAATATAGTCCAAGAAACCTTAAGACATAACACATTGGTTCATCTTTCAAGTGCCACAAGACCATGTTATATTTATATGGGTTTAACCTTCTGCAGCTCATTAACTAACAAAATAAACATTGTAAATATCTTAAACTGAGTGTTATAATATTTAAGGAAACAAGAAGGAAGAATGCCAAGCAAGCTTGAGGCCTGATGACTTTTAATAGGATGTTGCTTTATGTAAGTTTAAGGCATTTCACATCACCAGGCCAGAATGTTGTGTGACAACAGTTGGGTGCTTAACGGCAAGCCAGAGTTAAGGCTCAGTTATTAGGTTTTAGCTTCTGGATATAGATTCTAAGTAGAGACAGAGAGATTGAGTTTCTTTCTATCTTTATTTTGTTCTGTTTCTCCAGAGAAAATTCTTATCTATATGGGTGTATTCTTTACATTCCACATCCAAAAGCTACAGATCCACCTGAACGGGAACCTCATGAGATCATACCGAAGAGTGGACAGAGTAGATTGAAATCTACTGTAGATCTCTGTGATCTGCAATTGATCTCCAAGGGTTTCTGGAGATCTAAATGTTCCCTACCTGAAAATATGAGCCTAAGTTGCTTGCGATGGCCATGGCTTTGTGCTGTTCCACTGTCCACTGTTTGTGTTAGAATTCCCGATCCGCTGTGGATCTGTGCTTCTACGTGCAGGTCAATAGGAAGGGGGCATAGCAGATAATTGGCTCCTCCCCCAAGTCACCATTTTCCATCTGGCTCCCCCACCCCCGTGCACCATTTTGCATTTGTCCCAGGTTTGTCCTGCACCCTGAACCCAACCTAGATCTCAGAGCTCGACATCTTTCCACCCTGGTACTGGGCCCTAAGTGCACACAGCTCTGGATGGCCATTTATGAATTGTCAACAAATGCATCATACCTATTGGCTTATGCTAATTCGTATGTATGGATGCAAATATAAAAATGCAATAACAGAAATAGAAATAGTGTGCATCTCACCACAGTGTGGAAAACTGTGACCAGGTCACCTCTGTGCCCAGGTAGTGATGGGCAATTCTTTTCTTTTGTGGTTCCTTCTCATGGTGCTGAACAGCCCTTCAAGCAGAGGACGATTTTCTGGCAACCCTTTAGATAGAGGATAGCCCTTTATCAAAGAGGGCACATGCCACCCTAATATGCAAGGAGGGCCCCCTTTTCAGACATTCTGCTAAACAGGACAGTAGCCAGAGTTAGGCTAACAGGGAGATTGACACCCCTCTAAATTTTCTCTGCTTCCCCAATTTTTTAAACAAAGAAATAATCTCAAGTAAAATATAGTTTTGTCTTTAAAGGCCCTGCAAACCAGAGGAACCGCCTCATTCTTTCAGCATAGTCTCTCCCCCCCCCCGCAAAATAGGCTGACCTATAGGATGCCACGTTCTCATTGCCCCATTCATGCTTTTACTCTATACATGGAGTGGAGTGAGGGAAGAGGCCTTTATTATTGTGGTTTTCTTGCCGGAGTACGAGGAAAGGACTGGATCGGGCAATTGCTATGGTGCTGAGTCTATGACTTGGCATAAAGATTTGGATGTGGTTGGTCCTTGGAATGCACCATTCTTTTGAAGGGTCAGGTCTTTAAATGACAGCTGGGCAGAGCAGTGTGAGACACGGCAGGGAGGAGTTTTGAGGCAGTGCAAAAAGGAAAGGTGAGCTGGTCCACGGCAAAGCTTTCTCTGTAAGGTCTAATGTAGGCTGAGTCTGTATAGGGTAGACATATAGGAGAAATGGTTGCAGTTCGGTGTTGATCAGCATTTACCCAGTCCGCAAATTCTGCCCAAACACAGACACAGATGCTATTTGCAGCTGAACAATTTGAAGTCTGAACACTTCCAAACTTCCTGCGTGAATCATCAAAATTGCATTCAGCCACATGTGAGGATATTTGAGAAATGCATGCTAACATGTTTCAATCAATGGAAGGGCAACATGTACTTTCACAGATGTACTTAGTGGGCATGACTGAAAAATGTGGATAAAAGTTCACTTGGATTTCCATGTGAAAAGACATCCAGGTGAAAAGTGGAAGGAAAGCTAGTGCGCTCTAAGGGCATTTAAAACATCGCCAAAGGCAAAATAGCAGCATTGATTTGTCAGTCAGGGGCCAATAAACAAGGGGGAACTGACCTGATAGAGTTACAGAGTTGAAGATATGTTATATCCTCAAACAGATACGAAATTGAATTATACATGGCTAAAATTCAGGGGCACTCCTGCCAATGCAGACATCTGTTACTTCAAATACATGGAATATTCCTTGTCTGAATTCTCTTAGAAAAATTAGGGTACTGCTTTTTAAATTTTTGTTTCCATTGGATGATCAGTTTAATCCAACGGCAATGTAAGCAGACTTCAGAACCATCTGATGCAGGAAGTCAGGGATTAAACCAAATTCATCTCCCTACATCTGACTGAAATGAACCTGCACATCAATTTATTCAATTTGTTTATTTATAAAAACATTTCTATACCAAATTTTGATCCCAACAAGGGCCCCCAAAGTGGGTTACATAACAGAACAAAAGCAATAAAGTAGCATCACTTGGAACAAATATAAACTATGGCCTTCAGATCAGAAAGAATACAAAACCATTAAAAGCCAAGTGGAATTAGAAAGTTTTCACAGCTGGCTTAAAGCCATCAGGAGTGGAACTCAGAGTTCATAGCTGGGACTTCCATGTAAACAGTAGAAACTCAAACTGGCTTAAACTACCCAGGAAAAATCAGGATCAGCCAAGACCTATAATACAAAAACCCTCTCTTAAAACTTCAAGTCCCAGAATTCTTTGGAAAAAAAATATACCACTGAAACTGATCCACAAATATAGAATCATAGAATACTAGAACTGGAAGGGGCCAGAGGGACATCAGGTCCAACCCTCTGCCCGGTGCAGGACTCTCTGTTAAACCATCCCTCTCAGACGGCTGTCCAGTCGCATCTTGAATGTCCCAAGTGTGGGAAAACCCACTGCCTCCCTAGGCCATTGGCTCATTGCCATACTGCTCTAACGGTCAGGAAGTTCTTCCTGATGTTCAGCTGGAACCTGGCTTCCTGCAACTTGGGCCTGTTATTCCGTGTCCTGCACTCTGGGATGATGGAGAAGGGATCTTGTCCTCCTCCTTTGTGACAGCATTTCAAATTCTTGGTGAGTGCTCTCATATCTTCCCTCAGTCTTCTCCTCTCAAGGCTAGACATGCCTAGTTTTTCAGTCTCTCCTCATAGAACTTTGTTTCCAGCCCCTGAATCATCTTTGTCGCCCTTCTCTGAACCCTTCTCAGCTTGCCTGCATTTTTCTTAAACTGTGGTGCCCACAACTAGACACAGTACACCAGATGCGTTCTTCCTAGCACTGAGTATAGGGAAACGAGCACTTCACATGATTTGGAAGTGATACTTCTATTAATGCATCCCAAAATAGCATTGGCCTTTCTGCAACCACATCACATTGTTGACTCAACAATTCCAGTATTCACACTTGCAGTATTGTTGCGTCAAGCACTCCTCATCTTGTCACAATGCGTTTGGTTTCTATTTCCTAGGGGCATAATTTGGCATTTATCCCTATTGTCCATTCCTGAAGAAGACAGGAACTTTTAGATCTTGCTGTTGCAGTTAAATACCTAGGTACCATTCAGCCTTCCGGAGAGGGGCCGCAGCTCCATAGCAGAGCACCTGCTTTGCCTCAGAATGTCTCAGCATCCCCAGACAGGGCTGGGGAAGAACCCTGCCTAAATACCTAGAGGATTGTGGTCCTGTGTCAACAGAACTAGGCTAGATGCACCAAGGTCAGACTCAGCAGGGGGCTACATTTCAGGGAAAAGCAGGTGGGGAAGAGCAGGTGGCCTGCACCTGCTCATTTGGGTGCTGACTCTCGGTGGGCCATGCCAAGGCAACTGCTGTCCTTTCTTATGGTCCTTCTCCTTCTCCCCAGACTTGCTGGACAGCTCCTCAAACAGTTTTCTGACAGCCCTTCAGAGAAAGGACTGTCCCCTGTAAAGTAGGACACATGACCCCCCTAGAACAACCCTCTAAAAGTTAAGCCTCCTGGGACACGCTCTGATGGCCTCCCAGAGAACCCCCAGATCCTGAGGTCATGAAGATGGAACGCCAAAGGCTGAGCTCCACCAGAGTTGGAGCAGAAACGACCACAAAGGTGACTTCCTTCCGAGGATGCAGCTGGGCCTTGGATCACGAGGACCGTCTCAAGGCACTGTCCAAGATTAAATGCCAGACAAACT